CCGATACATATGTACAAACACATCTGCCAAACTTGGGGTGTTGAAATTTTTTTGGTTACAGCTAGCCAGATCATGAAGTAGCCGAAGAAGTTAAGTACTGCACCCATTGAGAGCACCACCCACGGCGGCGTAACCTCGTTGATGAGGCCGGAGAGTACGCCGACGTTGGCTCCTAGGTCCTTGAAGAAGCTGAGCAAGTTGAGGGTGGATTGGTCGTAGCCGAGGGAGTCTTTTATGTCGGTGGAGTAGAGGCCGAACATGTAGGTGGCGCCGGCGGCGGACATGATGAGGAAGGAGGCGAACACCATGAACCACCGTCCGGTGAGGACTTGGACGACTAGGCTCTTCATGTTGGCCAATCAACCAGCACCACCACAAGTAGTACTGCCGGGAAACACCAGGTCTCAATATGTTGTTGTTGTGTAGAACAGAATATTTTCTAGTTGTTGTGCAACGACTTGCAATGCTCTTACAAGTTTGGTGTGTTGATGAATAAATAAAACATGGGTAAATGATTAAGTGGCCCTATCTACTAAATAGAGAGGATCGGACCAGTTCAGAAAAAAAGGCAAAAAGTCCCAGATTCTGATTTGATGGACAGAGACAGAGGGAGAGTAGAAAATCTTTTGTACTTGGAGGGTGCCAAGGTGGCACGTTTATTTGGTACTCTGCACTGATTTACCAATTAAAAACAGAATATTTTCTCCAAGGTTGCTAAAATTAAAATTAATGTTACGCAGATTTAAAAAATAAATTTAAAAAATAAATTTGATAATTAGAATAATCGATTTTATTATGGATCTCAGTATTTATTAGAATTTATTACCTATTCAATGATTAAAATTATTAAGTCTAATTTTTAAATACTAATACTATTGGGACATAATTGAGAGACATAATTTAGGGACATAATGAGTTGTCACCAATGAAATGATAGTGAAATATATTTAATAAAGAGTCCTATTATAGCATTAAATGAATTTATTATCGTATCATTGATGACAACTCATTATGTCTATAAATTATGTCCCAATAATATTACTCATTTTTAAATTCATCGAACATTACTCTAAAACTAAAGTAGTGGCCAACTCCGAAACGAAATGGATGTTCAACCTCAAATTGGACCAATCTATAGGTGTAGGTTCTACGTATATGTATTTCTTTATGTTCAATCACAGGTAAAAGCTTCTGATAAAAAAAAAAAAANTTCCTTTTGTGAACTGGATAGTTCAGTAGCGGCGGTGGACGAAGATGACGGTGCTGGTGGCGGAGGCAACGTAGTCTCGGTGTTCGGCAACTCTGTTGTGATCTCCAGCTGGGAAAGATTATCCATGGCTTCTTTCTTCGTCTTCCATAGATAATACTCTTCTCTTATAACAACAGCTAGAGGCAAAAAGAGCAAGATCAGAACTGTGGCTGCACTACCACCATACTCACTCTGTGAAAAACGAAACCTGTTTTCGACAATAATGATCACCATGAGAAACGAAGCCAGACCAAGAGAGAGATAGAGAAAATGGTAGAAAACTTTGAGCTCATTGGGTTGTCGAACAACTTTCATGATCCGAATTGTTCGGAGGAAAGCAAACCAGATCGCCGCCGGCATCCATCCGATCATCAGAATGAGAGATTTTGTGTCATTATCATAAACTGCATGAAATAGTTGGGTTCTGATCGCACCACTTAGACCCACAAAACCTTGGAGAAGACCCAACACGACGCCTCGGCTCTCCGGGAAGTTCTTGACGCAGGTGACCAGAGCTCCGGTGTTAACGAAAGCCTGAGAGTTTGCCCCGATACACATGTACAAACACATCTGCCAAACTTGGGGTGTTGAAATTTTTTTGGTTACAGCTAGCCAGATCATGAAGTAGCCGAAGAAGTTAAGTACTGCACCCATTGAGAGCACCACCCACGGCGGCGTAACCTCGTTGATGAGGCCGGAGAGTACGCCGACGTTGGCTCCTAGGTCCTTGAAGAAGCTGAGCAAGTTGAGGGTGGATTGGTCGTAGCCGAGGGAGTCTTTTATGTCGGTGGAGTAGAGGCCGAACATGTAGGTGGCGCCGGCGGCGGACATGATGAGGAAGGAGGCGAACACCATGAACCACCGTCCGGTGAGGACTTGGACGACTAGGCTCTTCATGTTGGCCAATCAACCAGCACCACCACAAGTAGTACTGCCGGGAAACACCAGGTCTCAATATGTTGTTGTTGTGTAGAACAGAATATTTTCTAGTTGTTGTGCAACGACTTGCAATGCTCTTACAAGTTTGGTGTGTTGATGAATAAATAAAACATGGGTAAATGATTAAGTGGCCCTATCTACTAAATAGAGAGGATCGGACCAGTTCAGAAAAAAAGGCAAAAAGTCCCAGATTCTGATTTGATGGACAGAGACAGAGGGAGAGTAGAAAATCTTTTGTACTTGGAGGGTGCCAAGGTGGCACGTTTATTTGGTACTCTGCACTGATTTACCAATTAAAAACAGAATATTTTCTCCAAGGTTGCTAAAATTAAAATTAATGTTACGCAGATTTAAAAAATAAATTTAAAAAATAAATTTGATAATTAGAATAATCGATTTTATTATGGATCTCAGTATTTATTAGAATTTATTACCTATTCAATGATTAAAATTATTAAGTCTAATTTTTAAATACTAATACTATTGGGACATAATTGAGAGACATAATTTAGGGACATAATGAGTTGTCACCAATGAAATGATAGTGAAATATATTTAATAAAGAGTCCTATTATAGCATTAAATGAATTTATTATCGTATCATTGATGACAACTCATTATGTCTATAAATTATGTCCCAATAATATTACTCATTTTTAAATTCATCGAACATTACTCTAAAACTAAAGTAGTGGCCAACTCCGAAACGAAATGGATGTTCAACCTCAAATTGGACCAATCTATAGGTGTAGGTTCTACGTATATGTATTTCTTTATGTTCAATCACAGGTAAAAGCTTCTGATAAAAAAAAAAAAAACGCTTGGAAGCCAAAAGTCCTCTCTCTCTCTCCATCAAATCAAAATATTTTCTCTCTGTCTATCAAATCAGATTGTTTTATCTCTCTATGTATTTCTTTATATTTAGATTGAAGTGAACCTTGGAGCTTTGATGGACGAAGAAAATTTTTTGCCTTGATCTTGACCAATCAGGCAATGAGTAGGCAATTTGAATTTAATAAGCAAGAAGGGCCCTGCTTCGAGAATTCACGTACCTAAATGTTTGAGAACGAGGGCATGCACTTTGCAAAAACAAACTTGGCAATGACTCTTATATTTGTGTGTGTGTATGTGTGAAATGTGAAGTACATTGTCAATTGGAGTTTGTTTGATTGCTGAATTTTGGACAGTATATTTTAACTCGACATTATTTTGGGCGTGTGTTGTTCAGATAAGTTTACATTTGAAGTTGATGGGTCAAGTCCAAGGGCGTAGCCCACGATGTAACCTCAATTTAAGTTAAAAGTCCAACTCCAAGAGATTCAATGTCCAAAATGGTCTATACCTAGTTAAATTCATCAGATTCGAGAAGCTACATCAGCAAGAGAGGATGCAAGGGTCATCTAAAAGCCTCCTCCTAACCACTTTGGAGTAAGGATCATTCAAGAGCCTCTTCTTAATCACCTTGGAGTAAGGGTCATTCAAGAGCCTCCTTCTAGCAGTAAGGGTCATCTAAGAACCTCCTCCTAACCACCTTGGAAGAAGTCAATCACCACCTCATCCTTTAACCGAATCTTATGAAGAGCACCGTAACTATCTCATCCGTTGAGAAGAGGTCGTCAGCTCCATCAGATTAGCTATTTAGTTACTATTAAGTCACCCCAAGAGACGACTATAAATTATAAGTCCCACCAACACTTGGGGGGCAGATGACACTCAGTCGAACACATCTCTGTAACTCTCATAACTTGTATCTCACTGCTCTCACTACACACCTTGAAGCAATAAAATACCCCGACGACCCTAACCATTCAAAGTGGACGTAAGTCACGTTAATCAAACCACTATAAATCCTTGTCTGGCTTGTGACTCTTACTCTCTCTTACTTCTTTACTACTGCATTTATTATTGTTCACTTGACATATGGTATGCAAATTCAATTTGTGCATCATCAGTTTGACGTCGTCTGTGGAAATAACAAAATTCTCACCTAAGTACATCTCTTGTTGTACCTATGGTGATCATCACCAGATCCATGAATCAGTTTGAAGATAATCCATCACAAGAGGAGGAGGTTGCTCTTCCACCAACCAATCATATTTCAAATACACAGCAAATGCTAGAGACAATGTAATAGCTCATAGCCCAAACTCAATAAATCCTACAATTAATGCTCGTTGGACAACAAAGAGGAGCACAGCTCCTATGGTGATCATCACCAGATCCATGAATCAGTTTGAAGATAATTCACCACGAGAGGAGGAGGTTGCTCCTCCACCAACCAATCCTATTTCAAATACACAGCAAATGCTAGAGACAATGTAATAGCTCGTAGCCCAAACTCAATAAATCCTACAATTAATGCTCGTTGGACAACAAAGAGGAGCACAGCTCCTATGGTGATCATCACCAAATCCATGAATCAGTTTGAAGATAATTCACCACGAGAGGAGGAGGTTGCTCCTCCACCAACCAATCATATTTCACATACACAGCAAATGCTAGAGACAATGCAATAGCTCGTAGCCCAAACTCAATAAATCCTACAATTAATGCTCGTTGGACAACAAAGAGGAACACAGCTCGGAGGACCTTAAGCTAGAGGAGCTCCACGCCCTGGACGTCAAGGAGCTCCCCACTTGGGCGTCCCACACAGGGGAGCTCACCATGAGGGACCTCCACCTTCTTTTTCTCATGGTGGAGACCCACATTTTCAAGAGGATGAGGGCAAAAACCAAAGCGTGAAGCATGAGAGTCATTTCCACGACAATTACAAAGGAGCTCCCAACCATTAGGACGAAAAAATCAAAAATGTACAGAATCAACTAAGCGACGTCTTTAACGCCATGAAGGCATAAGGACCCGAAATTGTTGATTACCTGGTAAGGTGAACTGACACACCCTTCATACCAGATGTGGCGAACTATCCATTTCCCAAAAAGTTTAAAATGTCATTTGTAGAAACTTTTGACCGTATAAAGGACCCACTTGATCATCTCGAAAGCCTACAAGACCTTAATGCAGCTGCACAACGTCTCCGACGAAATTATGTGTAGGGCATTCCCAACTACCTTGAAGGGATCAATATGACAATAGTTCACCAAACTCACCCCAGCCTCCATAGACTCCTTCGTCGAACTGAACAGATCATTTGTGACACAGTTCATTGGTGGACACCGCCAGGAGAAATCTGTCACCCATCTGCTCAACATAAAACAGGATCGAGAAGAGAGTTTGTAGAGTTACCTCACTCGTTTTAACAAGGAGGTCCTCCAAATCAAGGAGCTCAATGAAAAAGTCACCATGATCGCCTTTCTGGGATGCCTCTACTCATTAAGTTTCCTCTTTTCAGTAATGAAGCAACCACCAAAGAGCATGCCAGAACTATTGACAAAAGCTTAAAAATATATAAATGTTGAGAAAATCAACAAATCGAGGCAAGGTGAATCATCGCGTGAATTGTCAAAAACTTGACCTATCTCTACTCTGCTCTCAAGCAGACAGCCTATCTCTAGCTTACCGACCCTCTCGCGGGTCACCAAAAAAGCTTGGTCTATCTCTGTTCTGCTCTCAAGCAGGCAGCCTATCTCCAACTTAGCAGCTCTGTCGTGAGTCGCCAAAAGAGCTTATCTTATCTCTACTCTGCTCTCAAGGGCAGCCTATCTCTAGCTTAACGGCTCTCTCGTGGGTCGCCAAAATTCTGGTCTATCTCTGCTTTACTTTCAAACAGGCAACTATCTCCAACTTAGCAGTTTTCTCATAGGTCGTCAAAAGCTTGGTCTCTACTCTGCTCTTAAACAGGCAATCTATCTCTAGCTTAGCGGCTCTCTCGCAGATCGCCAAAAGCTCAGTCTCAAAAGGTACAGCTCTCTTACGAGCAATTCACAAAACTCTGTCTCGACTCTCACACAAGCAGTCTGCCTCTCTCTCTCTCTCTAGGTAATCATGTTAGATATTTTAATATTAGAATAACATTATTTTTATCATCTCTAGGCACATTTTTGAAACTCAGGCAGTCTGCAACCCGAGGAATTACATTAGATTGAATGCCAACAATCGACCTCATCCATCTGACATTGCCTGCATATCTGCCTGGCTAGGGCGAGTGACTTTTGGGGCTATATCAACACTCACCAATCCTGGACGAGCGTCTAGAGTCCCAGTCTTGTTTCACAAGTAGCACCCATCGCCTCTCCAGGGGCACCCAGCACCTTAGGCGCCTCTCCAGCAGCGCTCAGTACCATGAACGCCCCTCCAGCAGTGCCTAACACCATCAGCACCCACTCCGTGCTCGGCTCGTCCATGAGCCCCAAAGTGGCACTTCATCGCCATATCGAGCAGCGCACAAGGCGCCTCACCCTCGCCCTGAGACATGTTTGCATACCTAGATTGGCACACAGGACTGCGCGCCCAACTGCCTAATAGCCCAAATCGGCACCTAGAATCGCCTACACACCCAAATTGGCGCCCAGGACCACATGCCCAGTTGCCTGATCGCCCAGGTTGGCACCTAGAACCGCCTGCTCGCTAAGATCAACGCCCAAAACAGCGTGCCCAACTGCCTGTTCGCCTAGAACTATGCGCTCAGCTGTCTACTCCCTCAGAACCATGCGCCCATCTGTCTGCTCACTATTTTAACTGTAACTTTTATTTCGTTACTCCAAATGGGCCTATAATATATCAAATCGAAACTCTCGGCGAACCCTACAAAACACACAGTCTTTGGCTGTGATTGATGTTGTTAAAAATCCAAAAAAAGCCTAGAAACAAATGTTTTGGCCTCTCGAAGTTTTTTCAATTATGCAGCCGAAATTCAAATTTAACCGAATGCCCTCCTCTCCAAGTTCCATTGGACACAGGGCATTGTGGGACAAATGATGGGTCAAGCCCAAGGGCATAGCCCACGATGTAAATTCAATTTAAACTAAGAGCCCAGCCCAACTCTAAGAGATCCAGTGCCCAAAGTGATCCACACCCAATCAAGCTCATCAAGTTCGAGGAGTTACATCAGCATGAGAGTATGCAAGGGTCATCCAAAAACCTCCTCCTAGCTACCTTGGAGTAAAAATCATCTAAGAGCTTCCTCCAAACTACTTTGGAGTAAGGGTCATCCAAGAGCCTCCTCCTAGCCATCTTGCAGTAAGGGTCATCCAAGAGCCTTCTCCTAACCACCTTAAAGTAAGGGTCATCTAAGAGCCTCCTCTTAGCCACATTGAAAAAAGTAAACCATCACCTCATCTTTTGACCAAATTTTATGGAGAGTATCGTAACTATCTCATCCGTTGAGAAGAGGTCGCCAACTCCATCAGATGTGTTATTTAGTTACTATTAAGTCGCCTCAATCTATTAAGAGACGACTATAAATTATAAGCCCCATCAACACTTGGGAGCAGATGACACTCAGTCGAGCACGTTTTTGTAACTCTCATTGTTAGCAAAATAGGATTTTATCAAATTAGAAGGCTTTAATCGTGTATTCACTGTTCTTAAGAAAATTATGCCCCCACTATGTTGTTGCTGGGTTTATGGCAAATTCTTCTAAGATTAACAAAATTTCAGATAGCAAACTCTAAAATTCTCCCGAGAACAGAATAAGGAAACATTTTTTTTTTTTTTATATATTTCAATTGAAAGATTTGTACAGGTATTTATAACACCTTAGTAAGAAGGCACAACTCTTGGACCATAGATTTGAAATATTTGGAGCTTCTCTCCAAATCTTTCCACCATCCAAATTTATAAAATTTGGTGTGTTTCTCATTTTAAACTCTTACATTCCCTTTCAACTTTTTCAATGTGGGATTCTTTACATTACTAACTATCTCTAACACTCATAATTTATATATCTCTCTGCTCTCACTGCACACCTTGAAGCAATAAAATACTCCAACAACTCTCGTCATTAAAAATGGATATAAATCAGGTTCACCGAATCACTATAAATCCTTGTGCGACCAATTTCTCTCACTTGCTTCTTAACTATCACATTTATTATTATACCAGTGGTTTTGCAAATCCAATTTGTGAATCATAAGACCATGATCTAGTGCTACAGTTTTGCTTTTCTATATTGTTTGGATTTAAAGAGGCAAAAAGAGGGGCTTCAAAAATGACGATTGGATGAACTTTAGTGCTTGTTTCGTAGAGTAGCTCGGTTTCATACTTTTGAATCGTGCGGATTTTTATTTTTTTTTGTTAGTGGCATCGAGACGGAGCAGTGAAGAACTTATATTTGGAGGCACAGTGGCTGTCAATGGGTCTCTGTGCAATATACCTCAGGTCAGGACCACTAGTTATATTTACATCTTCTGTGTATCATGCTTTCGCAGATATGCAATTCTTAAATGACTGTGTTTGCTGCTTAAAATTTTCAATCTTCAGAGTTTGCTTTACACTTGTTGGGAAGTGATATGTGGGTTTTGAATTCCTTTGCAGTTTGTGTTACTGGAATATGTTTAGTGATGAGTGGAAGCATGGAATTGAGATCTTGAACTGGGTTCTAGTTAAGGATTGAACCGACTAAATTGTATAGTGAAATTCATGTTCTGAGGTGTTTCGGGGATTGTTTCGATCAATGTTTTGGAATATTTCAGGGAACACATTTTATTTTTTATTTGTTTTCATTTTGTTTCCAAAAATGATTCCAAAATATTTCTGTTTTTCGGACTGACAAAAACTATGCACCGAAATTAAATTTTAATCATTTGTTTTAGTCAAAATTGGGGCTAATTTTACCCCAATACCATTTTAAAAGCCAATTCCATGATGCCAAATGCAGTGTTTACACAGATAATATCCTGTCTTACAATGTCTGGTATCATAAGGTCTAGGTGGTTGTTGTTGATATGGTATTATTGCTTTGGATGATGGGCAGACTAAAGTTGATCCCGCAAGGGATATGATATACGTCAATGGGAACCGCCTTCCTAAGAAACTGCCTCCAAAAGTCTATCTTGCTTTGAACAAGCCAAAAGGGTTTGTCATCTTTGTGCCTCATCAACATTCTACACAAGTTCTTGGTTTTCTGTTCCGTATGTATCAATGGAGCTAATGCAAATAACATCATTGCAGATACATATGTTCATCTGGGGAGAAGGAGACCAAACCAGTGATATCATTATTTGAAGAGTTGGGTATGTGCTAGTTGTACATGCCATTTCAACTCGCTATTTTTGCTTAAAGATGTGCTGTTTCTCATACATACTCCTTTATGCCTTGTAATTAATTCCATAATAGTGTTCTTTTTCTTTCCTCAGGATAAAATAAATCTGGGACGACCAAAACCACGACTGTTTACCATTGGCCGCCTTGATGTTGCCACTACTGGGCTGATAATTGTGACAAATGATGGTATCTATAATGCTGAATCTGATATAACAGAGAGTTCTTCTTAATAGTTATTGTGTTAGAGTATGTGTGGCTCATATATTTGCTATGTGCATAATGGGAAGGAGGCAGATGCCGGAGCGGAGTGGAGCCCGCGACGGCATCTGCCTTGCGGGATTTATATATAGGGGACGCTGATAAGTTGGGGGTGCGGGGGCAACGCCCCGCGGTACGGTACAGGGGTATTTTTGTAAATACGTCCATATTAGGGTTATATAAATACTTAAGATGTAACCCTACTTCAATAAGGAAAAGAACAGCCGCTCGCTCTCGTGGATGTAGGCACATTGCCGAACCACGTAAATCTCTGTGTGTTATTTTCTCCTGCTTTCTTAATTGTTTGATTCCTTACTATTCACCATAATTGCTGCACGATCACAACAGTTGGTATCAGAGCTAGACTACGATGTCTGGGATTTCCTCTACAAAATTCGACATCATGAAGTTCGACGGAACTGAGAATTTCGGATTATGGCAGAGGAGGGTGAAGGACCTGTTAGTGCAGCAGGGCATGGTGAAGGCATTATACGGAAAACAACCGGCAGGAATGGACGACATGGATTGGAAAGAATTGGAAGCGAAGGCTGTGGCGACTATTAGGCTTTGTCTGGCTGATGAAGTGATGTATCACGTCATGGATGAGGAATCACCGGCGGAAGTTTGGTTGAAACTGGAAAGTCGGTATATGTCCAAGTCGTTGACGAACAAGCTCTATCTTAAGCAGAAACTATATGGTCTTAAGATGTCAGAGGGCTCGGATTTGACCCAGCACGAGTTGATGTGAAGTTCGAAGACGAAGACAAGGCGCTGATGTTGCTGAATTCCTTACCAGCGTCTCCTACGTACGAGAATTTGGTTACGACTCTGATGTGGGGGAAAGAAACCCTCGAATTGGAGGATGTCACAGGTGCTCTGTTAGGTTTTCATCAGTGGAAGAAAGCCAGTGATGAGGCTTCACAAGGTGAAGGGCTTGTGGTGAAAGGTAACCAGGAACGTGGAAGAAGCAAATCTCGGAATGGATCGGGTAACAATAAAGCCCGGTCCAAGTCGAGGAAGAAGAAGAAGGACATCTCTGTCTCGTGTTACAAGTGCGGGAAAAAGGGGCACTTTAAACGGGACTGTCCAGAGAAAAAGAAAGGGGATTCAGAGAACAAAGAGGGTGCATCAAAGTCTGCAAACGTAGTGGAAGAAGAAGATTCAGAGAGTGGTGACGGAGATATGCTTTCTGTTTTATCTAGTTCAGATCGTTTAACAGATTCTTGGATTATGGATTCAGCATGTTCCTATCACATGACACCCAACAAAGATTGGTTTGACACCTACAGGTCAGTAAATTTTGGTTCTGTTCTGATGGGTAATGATGCATCTTGCAAAGTTGTTGGAATAGGAAATATTAGAATTAAGATGTTTGATGGTATGGTTAGAACGTTGTGTGATGTTAGACATGTACCGGATCTAAGGAAGAATTTGATTTCATTGGGCACTTTGGATTGTAATGGTTATAGTTACAAATCTATAAGTGGAGTAATGAAAGTAAGTAAAGGCATGCTGACAGTGATGAAGGGACAGAAAGTAGTAGGAAACATTTACAGACTGCTGGGTACTACAATTGTAGGTGGAGTTGCTGCTGTAGAGTCTGAATCAGATAATACAGTCTTGTGGCATATGCAGCTGGGTCATATGAGTGAGCGTGGGATGATAGAGCTTCATAAGAAAAATCTATTGAAGGGTGTCAAGACATGCAAGCTCAATTTTTGCAAATATTGTGTTCTTGGAAAACAGAATAGGGTGCAGTTCAAGACAGCCACACACAAGACAGAGGGGGTTCTCGACTATGTCCATACAGATGTTTGGGGACCAGTCAGCGTACTATCACGGGGAGGATACATGTATTTCGTGAGTTTCATTGATGATTACTCACGAAAGGTCTGGGTGTACTTCATGCGGCACAAGTCAGAAGCGTTTGCCAAGTTCAAGCTGTGGAAAGCTGAAGTAGAGAACCAGACAGGGAGGAAGATTAAATGCCTCAGGTCAGATAATGGTACTGAGTACACAGATTCAAAGTTCCAGGAGTTGTGTGAGCAGCATGGGATCAAGAGACACTTCACAGTCCGCAAGACACCACAACAAAATGGTGTAGCGGAAAGGATGAACAGAACGATAGCCGAGAAAGCTCGGTGTCTCAGGTTGAATGCAGGGCTTGCAAAGAATTTCTGGGCAGAGGCAGTGAATATGGCATGTTTCTTGATTAACAGATCACCGAGGGCAGCACTAGATGGGAAAGTATCAGAGGAGGTGTGGACAGGCAGTGAGGTAGACTACTCTGGTTTGAGAGTGTTTGGATGTCCAGCCTATGTACATGTTTCTAGTGAGGAGAGGTCGAAGCTTGATGCGAAGTCTAGACAGTGTATCTTTCTGGGATATCAGAAAGGAGTGAAAGGCTTCAAGCTCTGGGATCCGAAGGCAAACAAGATGGTGATCAGTAGAGATGTGGTTTTTGATGAAAAAGCCATGTTGCAGCGTACTCAGGAAGAAGAGAAACAAGTACCAGAAAACTGTAGCACTAATGACCATGTGGTGCAGGTGGAGCTAGAGAATCATGGTAGAGAAGAGGATGCTCAGCATGTAGAGCGTTCTATCTCAGGTGATCAACAGCATCATAGTATAGCCACAGACAGGCCCAAACGCAATATCAAGCCACCTACCAGGTATGGTTTTGAAGATTTGGTTTCTTATGCGCTTATTACTAGTAGCGNATATGCATAATGGGAAGGAGGCAGATGCTGGAGCGGGCGGAGTGGAGCCCGCGACGGCATCTGCCTTGCGGGATTTATATATAGGGGACGCTGATAAGTTGGGGGTGCGGGGGCAACGCCCCCGCGGTACGGTACAGGGGTATTTTTGTAAATACGTCCATATTAGGGTTATATAAATACTTAAGATGTAACCCTACTTCAATAAGGAAAAGAACAGCCGCTCGCTCTCGTGGATGTAGGCACATTGCCGAACCACGTAAATCTCTGTGTGTTATTTTCTCCTGCTTTCTTAATTGTTTGATTCCTTACTATTCACCATAATTGCTGCACGATCACAACATATTGAAACCCAATGAATTCATCTGATCCGGTTGCCTTGCTTGTCAGGGGAGTTTGCTCAAAATATTTCACATCCTTCATCTAAAGTAACAAAGGAGTAGGGTTTCATTTTTTTCCCCTTATTCCAGCATCCAATGGGCTCTTCACACCTAGAAGTTTGAAACTGAAACTGTGTGTATCATGTAAAAGCTTTTGTATAAACTTCATGAAACAACATTTGGCGCGATTGTGTTGAAATTATGTTAAGTTGCTATAGCATCTGGTGGTCGTTGGGCAATATGTTTTTTGTGGTGAATTGAAAGAATTGCTCATGTACTGGCAGGAATTGATGATCTTTTGCGGCTTTCCAGTTTTGGAATGACACATTATTGTTGCTTTATCTGTTTATTCAATCACCGTCATGATAACAACAATGTTCTGATGCTCCATCTTCTCCTCAATGACTTGCGTCTTCATATTTTTGGTTGTAGATACATTGCAACTATAGATGGTTTAGTCAATAAGCGGCACTTAATAGCCATCAGTGAGGGAACCGTTATCGAAGGTGTCCATTGCACACCAGATGTTGTGGAGCTACTTCCGCGGCAACCAGATGTATCAAGACCTTGACTTCGGATCGTGGTACATATATTTTCTTTCTAGATGTACAGCAATTGACAAATTCTTTCGAATGGCATTCTCCTTTCCACTGATTACCATTCACACTCAAGACGTACAAAATTTCTGATACGTTTGTTATTAGTGTATTTTGGTTTTTCACATAGCTGAGCAGCAGGTATGTACCACAGCTTGAGGAAAATTTCTGAAATGTGTTTGACCAAGCAGAAAATTATATTTTAACAAGGAAGTGAGTGAACTGAATCACTCAGTTAGAATCAACTCAAATTGATACTAAGATCTTTGAACTTCTGATATCTTCCAAAATTTCCCAAACCCCTGTTCCCATTTCTAGTAGTTCCTAACTTCTCTCTGGAGTAGTATTTTGGGATGAAGCAGACAATCTGAACTGAAATAGATTAACTCTAAATAGAGGCAATCATTCACATGCAACACATGCCTTTAAAAATGGATGTTTCTGAATGCATTTTGACATCATCTGGATAAATTGAAGTAAATTTTGAAATAAATCATTTATATAGCTTCTATTTCCAGATATTCTAGTTATGAATTAGATATAATCATTTTTCATGCGAAATCCATTCATTTTCAAACAATTGTGTCAAGTAAGATAAAACTCAATTGCTGAATTGTCCAATCTATTCTTCAACATCGATTCTGGCATATAGAAAGTAAAAAGTTCCATCATAACTGACTATCTATTCTGTAACCCAGCATCTAAAATAGAAAAGCTTCCTTTTCCCAAAGGAAGGGGAATTTTTTTCCCCTGTAATATTTACACATCTCATGTAGGGAAAGCTAAAAAGACTGTTCTTTGACCTTTCTCATCGGCCTTGCGACAATGACTTTCTTTGATTAAACTGGTGCAGGTTCATGAGGGAAGAAATCATGAAGTCCGAGAACTTGTGAAAAATGCTGGACTTCAGGTCAGTTTTGGATATTGATCAGTTCATTTTTCCATCTGAAGGATTCCTTGTACTTACTCGTCATGACTCGTGGCTGATATCTAATGTTCCAATGAAGTGCATCTATAGTAAATTAGGATGGAGGGGAGACTTTGGCGTAACAGTAAGGTTGCTCAATCAGGACTTAGGCATCAATGTTTCGAGTCTCAAAAATAGCCTGTCTGCATCGAAGAATAAAACTACATACATTTGACCCTTCCTATACTACGCAGCGGCGGGAGTGTCGTGCGCTGGAGCCACACCTTAGATTATATTAAGCTAAAGGGGCTTATAATTTTTTCCAGTAAAGGTTATATAGCTGAGTTAGTTTGAAATAACCGACACTTCTGATCATCAAAAGGTGACTTGTACATTCATTATAACAACATTTTCTTTATGGTGTTGTCCTTTCTCAATGTAATATGTATTAATCAAAGCCTACGTCCATTGCATACTTATGATACTGTAGTATGCATTATGGTTAGGTAATAGAGATTGCTATGGTCATGTCCTTGCCTGCAATGTTAAATATAAATTGGTATATTCTGTAGGTGGCAGTATTTGCTGGTAATTAGCTCGATTATCTCTTGCTACCTCATCATTATTTGACTTGTTTCCAGGTTTTGTCTGAGTTATATTTTAGTAAGCTTCTACTTCTTATTGTTTCAGATTTATTCGCTAAAGTGTGTGCGTATAGGTGGTTTCAGGCTTCCATCAGATCTTGTGTAAGTGCTGTTGCTTCTTCATTTATATTTGAAGGGTTGTCCCCTCCCCCTCTCATCTTTCTTCTGAATCAGAATGCCAAGTTCTTGTTTTCTTAAATGTTGAAAGGTTTAGTGTGTACATATGCATATATACATTCATAATAAGTGTCTGCACATGCCACTGGATATCTCATTTGATTCGTAGTTTGCCTCCGGATTAAGGACCACTTTAATAGTAGTGCATCATCTTATATCTTGTTGAAAGAAGTCAGTAGTATGGGGATCTGGGGTTCCTCTAACTTAGTTGCTGTTAAGAGAGTTCAGAAATGTTCTCTTTCCTTTTCTTGTCTAGATAAAGCCTCACCATTATATGGCTACGATGACAATGAATTATTTGAGTAATCTTTTCATAGGTTCCCTAAAGTTGTTTGACTGTGTCTTCAACCTTGTTTCAAAGAGTATCCCGCTGAGCATGGATGAGTTGGTTAAAGTGATGGCTTAGGAAAAGATGTCTTGGGTGTTTCTCCTTGTGTAACGCTGCTGCAGGTGATATATAGTAATTGCCGGCAGCTGTTGGGGATAGTCTCAACTTGAAGTGGGTTAGGTTACCTGCGCAAAAAGAAGTGTGGGTGAGGACACCAGGCTGTGATGGAGGAATATCCTGTTTTGATATTTTGGTGTATGAGATCCCAACAGAAGAGCTTATGCATGCATCTATTCTTATTTTTGATAATTCATATTCAATCAAATTTAGAAAGGTTGTCTCCAAATTAAAAAATTTGGTTTAACAAGGGCCACGGAAGCCTCATATATCCTTTGTTTTTTGAGCTATGAGAGTTTGGATGATGACTTTTCAAACTTACGTTGTGTTTTGATAAAGTGATGGCCATGATTTGGCATTGATTATTAATCTTCCGTTTAAATTACTGAAATTGTTTTCCTTCTTGTTAAAAACATATGTGATCCAGTATCATTTTGTGTATAAAGGCCTGTGGTGTATGATGCAATGCCATTCATTGCAGTATGATACTGTTTTGCTAGTTTGCATCTCAGCTTTCTTTGGCAACTAAGCCAGGATCTTAATTGTGTTGTCATGTTCAGGATTGGGAAGCACATTGAACTAAAACAATCTAACCTCAAAGCATTGGGTTGGAAGAATTAGAAAGGTTGCTGCCAAATGCTGGGAGTGTACGTTTCTCGTAGTCACCAAACACCCTGTATTTTAAGGGTGGCTGCACTCTATACCAAAGGCACCAAACACGCAATGAACCATAATTAAACACGCTTGAGCGCACACGGGAATACTTGTCAGAAAAACGAAGGTGGTGATGCCCCAATATGTTTACAAGTCGATGGGACATGGGACAAGAAGGATCAAATTAAAGCCACGTTGCTGTTTTTTATGTAATGATGTATAAGACTTGAATTGACTTCGATTCAAATAATTTTTTAAGTTTATTTAGAAAAATGAATTTGAAAGGCTCGATTTTTTTATAAATAAAATAATTGAGTTATTCAAGCTCGGTTTGAGTTTGACTTATTTTGGGTCCTATTTATTTTTTAAACAAATTGAATTTGAATAATTTATTTTATTTATTTAAAAGAATAAGATCAACAGATTTGAATCGAATTCACAAAAGTCAGCTCAAGTGCATAGCCGAGGCTAGGATTTGGACATTGGGCCTTTTTTTAATGATAGAAAAGATAAAACATTAAATGCTAAATATTAATATTTTTGGGGTTCTTAATAATTGTTAATTAGGTGTTAAAATGATATGATTTATTAATAAGACACAACTAATACATAAAATTAAAGAATTTAAATTTTCTTTAAGTCACATGTTTCGTAATCAAGTGGACTTGATATACAATGAATAAATAAATTTAGTATATATAAAGTCAATCAAAAAAAATATATAGCATAATCTATTTATAGCGGTTATATATAAGACACAAATTCTATATTATAAGATTTATTAGACACAAAATTAATAAACAAATTAAATATAAATATAATGCTTTTTGGCTCGAACTTGTAAACACCTCACATGATTGATGGACCTAGCTGCCACCCCTCTTAACACATATCCCGGTTATTCTGGCTACAAGCACTAATTATGACATACAATAATTATCTCAATAGATTAAATTTATATTCATTAGTCTTATTTGTGAGTTCAGAATTAGTTGATGTAATCATATATCATTAAAAATCCTATATCAATGTTATATTAAATAATGGTGATGATTCTCGGAATTTCTCGACCCAAGCCCAACCTATGGACTATGGTAGTTTGGTTCTCACGTTACGATGGATCTGAAAAATTAAACAGAAAAGAACACAGAAAATAAGTGGTTCACCTTAACCGAGGGACTAAAGCTACATCCACTGTAATGGAGGCTCTTGCTCATGAATGCAATGTATTGAAGTTCTATACGATGCAGTGAAATTACAAGTATTGAGCCGTTTCAGGCGAGAGTTCCTTTTTCCTCTTTGGGGATCTCTCTCTCTAGGGCTTTTTTTTCTTCCCTTCTGGTAAGGCGTTGTTCCTTATATAGTGGTCGTTCCTCTGGAGATTCCTTATGATTTTTTCCGCCTTCCCGTCGACCCTGTGCAGATCTCCTGCTGCTATCCTGCAAAAGCCTTCCATTCGTCGTCGCTACTATGCCCACGATCTCTAAGCCCTGAGTTCCACCATCCTCTTTGTCTGGGAGGATGCTGCAGTAGCTAATTTTAGAGATGGTCTCTTGTCCCTTGCACACGTGGAACAGCAGGGTTGTTAAAGGGAGAACAGTTTGTTTCCTTCCTAGATCCTACCTGGGCCGATGTTCGATTGGGTCTAGGTTAGATGACCCCTTGTAACGTGCTTCCCTTCCTTCAACTGGGTCAACCTATAAGAGACCCCTGGGCTAGGGGGCTTTCAGTCCCCAGTTCGTCGGTGGTCCAAGCCCAAAATCTCGCACCTATCAGTTGCCCCCCAGCCCCTAGTCACGAGGATGACATTACCTTGGGCTTGGGGTTAAAAAATGTCTTCTACTGTTGCGGGAAACGTGCTTGAATAGCTGGCCCGGTCATGATTTAGGTTGCGTTGTGTTTTGCCGTCCGTGATGATTCGGGATACGTGTCGCTCGCGGGTGCTCCTTGGCGTGTCCCGTCAATTGTCAGTCTATAATCTTTAATGCTTCGTGCCGAATAAAAAGGGGTAAGACTTCTCTTTTCCCCATTTCGAACTTCTCTCTTTCCAAAAGACCCTCTGTTTGCCCTTCTTCTGCTTCCTTTGGTATTCGCGGCGCAGTATTCTTGGCTTTTCGGCAATTTTAGGGCTCCTACAGTCCCGGTCTT